AAAAAAATTACCGTGTACAGTAACAAATAGAAATATAGATGAAATCTTATGATTTAGAATAAGATAATGTGAAATAAAGTGTAACTTCTCGAATATGTCTTTATAATACTTGTTATACTTGTGGAAGAACTTGTGGAATATTATTGAATCGAATACTGTATTTCATTTGAGACAAAGAGGCTGGGCTTGCAATATATTAAAACTAGTATATTTTACAATTAATTGACAGAATATAGATGGTAGAATCTTTGTTGAATTAGAATGAAGAGACTTACCTGTAGTAAATCTACTTGACTGTAGTTTTCTTGTTCGTCTTTGAGTTCGGCTTGCAAGTCATTAGCATATGATGTGGGCAGACGCGGCAATAAGCCTGAAGCGAGATGACGTTTTACCCCCGACTCTATACCATAATAGTTTTTAAAAGTCTTTCATATTAAAATTTTTTTGATTCCTTAGAGAATACAGGAACAAAAGTCATAATTAAAGAACAAAAGCAGTGTGAAAAGGATTATGGTCTAGAGACGGGGGTAAAACGTCATCTCGCTTCAGGCTTATTGCTGGCTTTCACTCAGCTGACAAAAGTTTTTGAATCTCATTATCTGCTCCAAATGATGGTCGACACTGACCACCATGTGCTGTCAACCAGAAAGAATCCTATTGAAAACTTGTGAGTCAGCTGATAAACATTCTGCACGAGACTGGAAATGAAGTGTAGTGAAAGCCAGCAATACATTTTAATGTATTTAAAGTGCAAAAACGATTACTGGGTTTCACATGACGTCATTTCCTATGTCGTATGCGGAATGTTCATCAGGTGAATTTATAGACCCCTTGCAGCACTTTGGAATGTAACTCAATCTGGAGGAAAAATAGCCTGCGTAGCCAGGCGTTCCTGAAGAAGGCGGGAGCCGGCTCCAGTCCTCTTCAGGAACGCCTGGCTACGCAGGCTAGAGGAAAAACAATAGGTTTCCTATTCTCAGAAGATTGAAATTCTTTTGTTTTGTCCCCCAGATCGAGTAGCTTTGACATCACATGCAAGGGGTCTATAGTTATATATTTTCACTATGAGAATTCGCCCACAAAGCCCTAGGCACGAAGGGATAAGATATGGGAAAAAATCGGTCCGAGGCTTCGCGAGTAGTATAGGGAATGGGGGTTCCAGCGCAATCTCAACACGGGGCAAGACCCGTGTCAAAAATCCACCTACGGACGACCCCCACTCCAAGTG